TGGGTTGATAGCATTGACTTAAAATGAATGCCATGGGTTTACATTTCCCCTACTCACTGGTGGTTTACATTCAGAGCCAAGAACAGAGGTTCTCTCTAGGCTGGTGGGGTTGTGGAATGGGGTTAGGAGATAGGGAGAGAAGTTGCTGTTTCATGGGTGCAGTCTCTGCCTGAAAATGGACAGTGGCGACAACTGCAAAACACAACACACTTCCTGCCGCTGCACTGTACACTTAAAAACGGCTCGATCGGGAAACTTTTATGTATGTTTTGCCATAATGAGAAAAAGACAGAAAAAAAGATGCAGCACACCGTCTTTCAGACATGACCAATTTATTCAGAGAATTTAAATTCATTTGGCAAAGTATATCCAGAGACAGAGTTTGGGGTGATTATGTCATGAAAGCAATCACATTTCCTACAGCTAACTGGTCATGGGATTGTATCTGGGAGAAGGTGGCAGACTTTTAATAATTTAGTGTGTGGAGATGATAAATATTTGGGAAGGAAACAAACAGATTGTACAACTGAGGCATGAAACATGCTAGTGCTGGTAGAGGCTTTTTATTCAATCTAATTCAACACACATTAAGCACATTATTGTGCAAAACACTGGCCTAGGTGCTGGGGTTAAGGCGGAAACAAAAACCACGCAGATGCGATTCCTCTCCTTTGTTTACAATCTAGTAACAGGACATATAAAAATGGTGCTTATCAGTGAGGTATCAAAAAAAAATTGTTCTAATAACACAGAGGACAGGTTACTTCCTAGGAGAGGTTGAAGCCGGAACCCACTTAAATTTGGTGGAGTGGGTGAGGCAGGTCATTCATGCTAGCCGAGTACAGAAAACTGGTGTGTAAGCATGTCTCTGCAACAGGAAATGGTCTAATTCCTCTAAGGCTTTCAATGTGTGCAAGGGGAAGGGGGATTCAAAGGTATTTTATTTTTTGTTTTCCTCCACTGTAAGTAAAGGAGTTACAGGAAAAGAGGGGTTACAAAAAGTTTACAGAAGCATGGATGGAGGCAGGGTTATGGACAGGAAATACAATTCCACAGTTTCGGGTAAGCGGAACCCCTTGTGTATACACACCTGGCCGCTGGAGTTGACGCCGACAAAGGGAAAGACAAGCGCCGGCAGCACCATCGCTTGTCATGACAGGACTTGTGGTCTGGCCACTGCCAGCCAGTAGTGAACGGTAGAGTCCAGGGAGATGGAAAGTCCCTAAAAATTCCCTCCTTGGCAGGAAGGATGAAGAGGCCAGAAGAGAGAATATGAAGAGAGAGGAAATGTTTTTGTAGGTTATCTAATGGTAACTCAGTATGCTTTATTCCCTATTAAAAAAATATAGGACCAGCAAGTTGTTTCTGAATGAAAATGTATAATGTATATAAAACACACCTCAAGAAGAGTTTTAATAGAACATACTACTAATCAAACATTAGTTTCTGCTTTTGCAATTTACACAACCTACATTAATTCTAATACTTAAGGAAACCTTTACAAACACAATCTATAAGTTGTTTAAATATTATTCAGTAATCCTTAACATCTGAAAGTTTGGCTGATATTATCTTAAAGGAAAACCACTTAGAAATCTCATTTTCCCATGGTTAGTACACCAACTTAAAAAAAAAAAAAAGAGAGAGAGAGAGAGAGACAGTTTTGCTGGTGGTAAAATGGAATCCATATACCTGCCAGGCTTTGCTGAAATAAAATAACGTACATAACCAGCACCTCAGGAAATTGAAACCTTTGAAATACAGAGTTTGGTTCTTCCTGCACTCTGAGCGACTGCTAATCAGAATGAAAATACTCTCCCCTTCAGGAACTGTTCCAGTTGGTTATGTCATTCAACCTATTTTTTGAAACATTAATAAACTGCTGACATATAACTATAAATAAATAGCTAATTTTTAAACCAAAATGACTCTAGAGGGCTAAAAGAACAGATATAAGAGCACACTGAAATGATTATGTCAAAAATTAAAAGTCTGTAGAAATGTGATCTATCCTGGTCTTAATTTAAATAAAAAATTTGTAAAAATGAATTATTTCAGACCTATATACATCAAGACGCCAGTTCTTATAAAAATGTACTTTAGTTGTAAATGCTAGATTATGCAAAAATAATTTTATATCAATTTTATTTTAATTAATTTCACCAACTCTAATATTAAAAACATTAAAAGAACTGAAATTTTAATGACGAAAAATTCCTATTTTCTCTATCTATTAAGAAAAAGGATTTTGCTTCTCTTATTAACATACAATGCCCTATTGTTAAGGCACAACTTTTTTTAGGATAAAAATGAAACCATAGATCAAATTTTATTTTACTCATAGTTACAAGATGGACTTTTTGTAGGCATATATTAAATACATCTTAAATTCAACCAAGACCTAAAATAAAAATCCACTGTTACTACCTAGGACCAATGAACACAAAACCACGATAGGTAGTCACAGCTAGAAAAATCCAAATGCAGTGCCTGTTTCACTATGCTAAGATTGTCTGTGAAGCCCACCTTCAGGGTGTTACTGACAAAGGGAAACCGGATACTGTGTTTTCTGCAGCGGCACTCACCTTTCTCCGCTCATACTGGAGCCCTCAGACAGTGGGGACATTTCCAAAGCCTGAATGAAATCCTAAGGGAAGAGCTCCTGATCCTGCAGGTCAGGGCAGATGTTCACTTTGCATCCTCCCTCTGCTACCACCCTCCTCCTCATCTTTCTCCTCTTTCCCACCGCCCCTCCCTCGCCTGACACAATTTGCTAAATATTCAAAAGGAACGCCCAAGCAAACAGGAAGAATTTGTACAACTGTTACTTAAACCACATATACCAAGATGCTTTTGTTTCTTCATTGTACAGTCATAAGCAAGTTGTCCGAATATTACTGGTTTAAAATGAAGAAGAAACACTAGGACCAGCCTGTAGCCTGGTAGTTAAGGAAGCTGATCCCACACATAGGACCTAATTGATCAAGTCAGAGGCCTGAAAACAAACCAGGCACGTGGGTAATTCATGCTCGAAATCCTGGAAAGAGGGAGAGGTGGAGAGGGGACTGTGATATGACTATGTCCCATGGGGAGGGGTTGCTTTCCCCTATCTTCTCTTTCTCTGGCAAGCACATGTGCCCTCTGGCAAATTAAAAAAAGAAGAAGCACTAAAAGCGGGGGAACACAATCACATACCAAAGGAAAACATGACAGTCTTGGAGGCCCTTGTAAATTCAACTAAAATGGGGGATACATCTATGAAAACAGAAAAAGCAGGCCGCCTCGAGCCTGCTTATGTACCCAACTCGCTTGTATTTTCTATATTTATGTCCTTGAAACGAGTGTAAAGAAATCGTCTGTAAAGGAGTCAGCAAGGTAAAGGCCTGTGGCTCTGAGGAGGAGGTTCCTTTTTCCAAGGAGTCTTTGAAAACCAATGGTTAACTAGACCTCTGCCAGGTCTGCTCTCTCACCAGGAACTGTACACCAGTTTGGTTCTACTGTGATTTCTGCACCAATCTTGAGAGCAATGGGGATGAGTGCTGGGAGGGGACATACTGGCTAAGACAGAGGAGCAGAAATAAAAGAGCACTAAAAAGCCAGGGAGTAGAGGAAATGCAGAGGGCCAGAGGAGGGGATGGACAGCTGGTGGATACCAGGTTATTGAATGTCACTGCTTCTACTAAATGTGATGCACAACACTCAACCTGAAGGGACATTTATCCTCTACACCTAAGGGCTAAGACGACGGCAAATGAAGACCAAGAGTTGAACAAGTGGAGGTTACCAAAAGTAAACTGTGCTGTTATTTTGCTACATTTTATAAATATTTTTATGTAATTCTGGGAAATACTACATACCTCACTTACTCATGAAGGTGTTTCACCTGTATATCTAAATAAATATAAATGCTGTCCCTTTTATTTATATTAGTTTTGAAATGTATACTGGCTTTTAGAAACAAAAATTTTTAAATGAAAACTACTTAAAAGTAATTAGTAACTAGGCTGGCTTTGTAGCCTAATAGTTAAAGGATTACGATCACACATGGCTAACCATGGTTCAAATTCCAGCCCCAGTATGGCAAACATGCCAGGCACATCTGTGTGCATGCCTCAAATCCCAATGGGATGAAGAAATGGAGGAGGGGACTGCAGCATAACCGAGCTCCATTAGAGGGTGCTTTCTCCCTGTTCCTTTTTCTGACTCTTTGTCTCTCCCTGGCAAGGGCATTTTCTCTCTAGCAATTAAAAACAAAAACAAAAACAAAACAACAAGAACAAAAAGCTAGTAACCACACTATACCCAACAAATTATAAAAATAAAGCATTTAACTCTTGGCCAATATCTTGATATTCTCACATGACACATATTTCATGACACCATTATCTATATATAGATTAGTGAAATTCAAAATAAATCTAAACAAATCATGTTTGCTAATATGATCTAGTTTTATTTCCATTAAATCCTACAGTTTACATATAATACTGAAAACAAAAACTCTAAATTTCATTTGTGAGCTGGCTCTGAACCCTGGTGGTTAAGGGAAGCCAGATTCCACATGGCTTACTTGACTGTGGTCTGAATCCTGGCACTGGTGGCTCAAATAACATGTCAGGTGTATGTGCTTGAATGCCCAAAATCCTGAAAGGAAGGAGAAACAGAAGAGAAGGAACTGTGTTGTCTCCTCCTCCTCTTTCTCTCTCTCTGGCAAGTACAAATACCCTCTATCAACTTTAAAAATAAATAAATAAATGAAAAGTTCCACTTCCTACTTACCAGTTCCATTTCCCTAACTTAGACATGTTACAACACTTAAAACATATGTTTGTACCATGGAACTCTGGGCAACCACATAGGCCTTTCCATCTTTTCGGAGGAAAAAAGAATCTGTTCACCTTATTACAAAGTAAAAAGATGTGGTCTCTGATATCTTTTCCAAATTCTCAAGGCCTGCTTAAAAATCAAGTACTCCAACTACCAAAACTTTGAGTGAAATCTTAACGAACAAAAGCCCTACCTAATGAAGCCCACTCTCTTGTGGGATTTCTGACCAGTGAGAGATGAGGTGACATGTGTTTATAAAATAGGTTCGGTTCAGAAATGAGGAACTGAAGGGTTTGGGACAATGTAATGTGAAAACCAAAAGTATGCACACTCCAAGAGGCTAGAATGAACTCTTTTTGGTTACTATTACCTCCAAGACAGGCAAAAAAATGGAAAGCTGCTTTCGGGTTAAAAACAGGGAGGAAGAAAGGAAAGAAAGAGAGAAGAAAGCAAAGAAGAAAGCATGTGAAATCCCTCTCCTTACAAATGTACTAAGGAATACAAGGGCACTGATGTCACATGAAACAATGGTATTGTTCGTGAAGTTTCCAGACATCACAATGAGAAACCACATGTTCCAACCAAAGACAGTTCACAAAGCAAAGTTCTAATTGTGGTGACACAACCCATGTTCAGATTCTGTAGACTAAACAGAAAAAAAAAGTCATCAAAAAATACCTTTAACCTTTATTATTCTAATCTAAAGGGAAACTAGAGAGTACCTCAAAAGTTACTAATTTGAAAGTTTGGTTCAGTTAAATACATTTATTAATAGTAAACATGACCATGGCAAAAGCAACCATATTCATTCTTGATAGCGAGAGAATCGTCGATATAGAAACTTGGCAAATTTTAATTTTTTAATTATTAAAACAAAGTCTTAGAAAGTAATGAAAGCTAGTTCAGTTCCTGTAATATCAAGTAACTTTCAATTATAATGGAATCTTATAGTCTTACAGTGCCTTATAGCATATTAGATCCCTAATGAGAAAAATGTACCAAAATCATATTGCTAACCCTGAAACCTTGAACCAAACTTCATGAGTTAAAGATTAAAAGTCTATCAGAAGAAAACGGATGGACCCTGCATCTTCTATCGGAAAAAGGAAAATCGAGAGCAAGATGGCAGAATTGTTAAACCCATGGACAGAAACATACTTATCTTTATAAAAACAAAACATACACACAGACACAGAAATTACTACAATTACAATGCAAACCACTCTATGTCTCTACTTCCAACTAGCTGGTGAACCTGTTATTAAAATTTCAAAGAAAAAAATCAACTTAAGCTTTTTCTATTTTAATCCACAGAAACATTCAGTAATAGATAAATAGAGCATTTTGTTGCATATTAATAAATGTGTGGCTTTTTTGTGCTTTCCACCCAAATTAGGGGTAAAAATCCCCAATCGCTTTATTTTCAATGAAATCTAATTATAAAGTTATATTAAACATCTACACAAAATCATTCCTTCCTTCAACCCAATTTTATATGAAAGTACTAACAAATAGTGGAGATTCATGATGTTGTGTTAAAATGGTGACTCATAACAATGTAGGACCAGCTATAGATTTTAATTCACAAATATATATATATGTGTCCTGTGTATGACAACTGTACGAAAATAGTCTCAAAAATAAAGACAATACTTGAGACACGAAGCAGCCCATTTTCCCTGATCTTGCATCCTAACACAGGGAAAATAAGTCTCTGATGCTTCATAAATACTTTAAAAAGTTTGAGATGGCCTTAACCATGCACAGTCTCCACCAATTCTTTTGACGCCTCCATGTTTCAGGCTAGCCATTTCAGCTTTGGAAGAGTTGCACCCTGTAATTAGTTATGCTTATTTATGTCCTGTCTTTTCTAAATCTGGGAGTTTTCTGACCAGAGCCTGATGGTTCATTCTGATACTTGCAAGGAGTCCCCCCTCAATGCCATCTGAACCGGTGTAGCTGATTTCTTCACCATTCAAGGTAGTCATGTGCCCCCCGAGGGCTTTTAAGATAGCATTACCAGCACATATATCCCACTTTTTGATGTACGTCACATGGATGTATAGATCAGCTTTTTCTTGACTCTTATCAGGCACATCCAAAAGTGCTAAAACTTTATAACCTAAAAGATAAACACAGAATTTAGGTTACTGTTCAACACTTTTAAGAAAGCAATGTAATTTCTGATTACAGTATTAAAAGTAACAAGAGGACGCAGCAGCTCACTGAACTATTTTTGCAACTGTCTCTCAAGTCTAAAATATTTCACATTGAAAAATGGTCTGGGGGCTGTAGGGGCAGGCCTAGTGGACCACCATGGTCTTGATGGGTTGAAAAACATGCCAGGCACATGTGTATGTATGCACAAGATTCTGACAGGATGGAGGAATAGAAAAGGAGTTGTGATGTAACCACATCCCTTTGGAGAATACTTTCTCCCTCTTTCTTGCGCTCTGGTGAGCATAGTTGCCCTATGGCTTAAATAAAAAAGAAATAAAGAAAATTTCTTTTAAATCAACAATACAAACATTAAACTCAACAGAACCAAAATAAGCTATAAAGTAACTTAAGATAGTCTCAAGTATAACCAAATGTATATCCATCAGTTTTTTTTTCTGGAGAGGTTTTTGCTATAGGGCGCGTGCGCTCGTCAGACAGAGAGAGACAAGAAAGCGAGAAATCACCCCCTAGGAAGGATGGCCACAACGCAATCCCTTCTCCTCCATTCTCCTCTCGGGATCTTGAGCACACATGCACAAGCGCCCGGTGTGAGTTTTAAGCCACCGGATCCGGGACTCAAACTGTGGTTGACTACATGGAAGTCTAGCAACATAGCCATTACGCTAACTGCTGGTCCCTGTAAGTCCCTAATTATTAAAATATAAAACTATGCTGTGGTTGTTTTCTATGGAATGACACCTTCAGTATGGGCCATTTTTTATGGCATGCCACATTCGACTGAAGCTAAACACCAACAACACCAACAAGTTTCACTTCAACACCCAGGGAGGCCTGATATGAAGAGAACAAAAAAGGAACACTACCATGCTAAGTCCTTTTTGTAAGGAACCAGGACTCAAAAAATGATAAAATAAATGGGGCATTACCTTTCCTAACCAACCTAGTTAAAGAAAGAGCCTATAAAAAAAGTAATATCAAGGAAGGTAGATATATGTAATCAGCAAATTAAAACGACTGAGTTTAAAAGTTAATGAGCAGGGGCCAGCAGGTTACGGTATGGTAGTTAAGGAGCTAGATTCCCATATGGCTGACTATGGACCAAGTCCCAGATCCAGTAGCTTGGGGATCACAGCAGGTGCATGTCTATGTGTACCCAAAGTTTTGAGGAGAATGAAGGAAAAGGAACTGTGGCATGGCCATCCCTCTCTCCCCTAGGGGGTGATTTCCCACTTCTTCTCTCTGTGCCTTTCTCCATCAAGTGCATGTACTCTATGGCAAAAACCTAAAAAAAAAAAAGAAGTTAATGCGGGTTACTTCTCCCTTTGTTACTGTGCTGAAAAATCTTCTGACACCAATATTTTTTGACCATAATTTGCTACCTACCTGAATGAGTGATATGTTAAACACCACTCATAACAGGAGTTGTCAAACAGCCCCTAAAGCCAAATCTAGGGCATGGCCTGTTTTTTAAAGGACTCTCAGACTTTTTATTTTGAGATTTTTGCTATAGGGTGCATGTGCTTGCCAAAGACAGAAAGACAGGAAGTGAGAAATTACACCCTGTGGAGGAGGGGGGATGGCCACACTGCAATTTCTTCTCCTCTATTCTTAGGATTTGGGACACACATGCCTGGTATGAGTTTTAAGCCACCAGGTGTGGGACTTGAACAGTGGTCAACTACATGGGAGTCCAGTGACAACCATTATACCATCTGCTGGTCCCCAGAATTTTTTTTTTTAAATAGTTTTAAAAGATAGTTAAACAGGGACCAGTAGTTGGTATAATGGCTATGTCACTGGACTCCATGTAGTTGACCGCAGTATGAGTCCTGGACCCAATGGCTTAAACTCATGCCAGGCGCGTGTGCATGTGTGCCCAAGATCCCAAGAGGAGAATCAAGGAGAAGGGATTGTGGCATGGCCATACCCCCGGGGGGTGATTTCTCGCTTTCTGTCTGTCTCTGTCTTTCTGGCGAGCACACGTACCCTAGCACCCTATACGAAAACCTCTCAAAAAAAAAAAATAGTTAAACAAAAAAATACCAGGTTAGTGTGCAATAAAGACTGTATGTGGCTTATCAGGCCTGAAATATTTACTATCAGACCCATTTTAGAAAAAGTGAGCTGACCTCTAAAATACAAGAGTACAGAATATACATTAGCTAGATGTACATGCGAGTCTCTTGCTCATCCCAGATATGCAAGTTGAGGAGTTCAGGGTATAAAAAGTGACTTGGGACTCAGAAATTCTCCCTTCCAGTAATATCGGATACTAGATATCATATATTTAACATGGCACCCTTCTGCCATATGCAGATTAAGTGCTCTATCGTTTCTCTTCTCCCTGACAGACCCACAGTTAAACTAACAGGACAATTATTTTAAAAACAGATTGTCTAAAGAAAAGCCACTAATGCTACATCACTGATGGGAATATGCTTTTATAGAATTCGAGGAAGAGAAATCACTGTGTATTTCTTTCTGCCTGGAAGTTAGTGTGACTAATATCTCACGCTAGAAATCATAAAGCAGGAGACCAACCCTACCCTAAAAGTACACTGTTCTTTCTCGCCTTCTTTCCAAGCAAGGGGCAAGCAAATCAGACTCCTGACATAGCCGAAACCATGCTAGGAACACTCTGCAAGATTCACACTGGTGTAGGACATACCAGCACCTCCAGCTGGGATGATTGTAGTCTGGTTTCCAAAAGTCTGAAGAGCAACCTGCTTGACCATCCCTGAATGGGAGCGAGACACAACAATCCTTGGGGTATTCTCGTTGTAGGAAGAGCG